TTTTTTAACTTCCTGCAGCTCACAGAATCAAACTTTGGCCTTAACAGCAGCTCCTCTGGCAATTTGATGCAAGCTTCCTCCTGCATCTGCTGTGCTGCTGTCTACATGGTACATAGAGACACGTAATTGTTTCTCCTTATGCCTTAAGAAACAAAGCCTGATCCCATTAAAGAAAAAAGTCTATTGTTTATATCCTTGTCCTATTATAACCTGAGGAAAACACTCATTAGTGTTCTATATAGGGGGGCTGTTATATTTACTTGAGACTTTTTTGGCAAGCTTATCTTTCTGCTAAGCCAGCCCTCCCCTGATTGCATCTCCTCACACAGAACAGGCTGGGCTCACTCTGCACTAACAGAGCACCGGGGAACAGGGTTCCAAAGACACCTGCAGTCACTCAAACTTCCCTCTCCATGAAGTTGGTACCAGAAGGAAGCACTGCCAGGTTCACACCAGTTGGTTTTGATGATGCCTCTTCACTACAGCCCTCAGTAAATCAGGTGGGAGGAGTCCCTGCATCCAGCAGATTCATGGGCCCAGCACCACCAACATCCCCAGTATGTGACTAAGCCCTGACTGGCCAAGTCAGTTTGTTGGAAATCTGCTCTTCAGCTCTTGACCTTGTTATTAACTGAAGAATTGAAATGGGCAAGCAAGTTTAACAGGGGGTTCTCTGGTGCCTATCATGAAGGGTAAGGACAAAAGGAGGCTCAGGTTTGCTCTCTGCAACTCCTCAAGAGGTTGAGTGAGGTGGGGATCAGTCTCCTAAGGTAACAAGAGACAGGGCAAGAAGAAATGGGCTGAAGTTGGTCAAGGGGAGGTTCAGGTGGATATTAGGAAAGCCTTTTTCACTGAAAGGGCAGTCAGGCATTGGAATAAGCTGCCCAGGGAAGTGGTGTAATCACCATGCCTAGAAATGTTCAAAAGGCATATGATGTTTATGGACATGGTATAGTGGTGAACAAAGCTCTGCTAGGTGAATTGAACTCAGTGATCTTGGAGGTCTTTCCCAATCTAAACAAATCCCTGATTCTTGGAGGGGTTATTTACACTTAGAAGAAATCCTTAAGTGTAGAGCAGTACACCAGCAAAACTGCATGCAGTAAATATGTATTGGAATTGTAGCAGCATTTAAAATCTCAGGATGACCTTGATGCTACAAGTGCCACCCAAATGAAGGGAACAGAGACAGACTCTAGCACAGGAGCAGCCTGAGCCAAAGTTCATCAGGACCTTCCCTAGAGAAAAGACAAAACTAATAATCCTCTCATTGACACTGGCTACTGTTTTAAGTAATTTTTTTTCCTGTGTTAATTTACTTAGTGTGGTAAAAGAATCTCTTTTTACACAAAAAAAATCTTCAAAACCCCAAAACCAAATCTACCTGAATACATCTTCTAAGCATCCAGACGAATTAGTGCATTCATAAGGAGTGGCATTGGCCTGAAATGCTGCAGGAATCCCCATGATGCCCAGAAACCTGCAGTCCCTTTGTTCCAGCCAAGTCTCTGCAGAGCCTCTGGCACGCCTGCATCCTAAGTATCACAGCCAGGCCACTAAGGGGAATAGGAATTTTGCTCTACAAATTGCTCCAAATTTATAGAAAAACTCCTAAGGAGTGGGAGAAGAAATTAAAAAAGGGTACATTAACAGTACACCAAAAGTCCTCTCTGGGAAGAGGGATGCTACCTAATTTTAGTCCTTCCAGTGGCAGCAGCAGGACAGCGAGTGCCTCCCGAGCAGGTGGAGCGTGGGTGTTTGGGGAAGGTGGTGGCATGCAAGAAGGTTCTATGAGAGAAAGTACTTTTTTTCCATCACTCTGATGATTCAAAATAGGCTGAATCATTTGGCTTGCAAGGCTAAATACTCTCCTTCCCTGCCAAGATATTCCCAAACCATTCCCCAAATCTAAATAGTTTTTTTAAAGGAAAAATGGAAGGGAAAAAAAAAAATCTAGATTTTAAGATGAACAAAAAGTCACACAACACACATGAGCTGATGGTAAAGCAGTGCACTTATATCCGAGTCTTTAAGTCTGAACAGAGAAACCCTGACTATTCTATATCAAACAGAGATAGTAAAAAAGTTAAGCTTGTTTTAAAGCCCACCAAAGCTGCCAGCTCTCTGTTGCAGCATGTCACCATACACAGCCTCAAGGTTCTTAAACGTTTCATTCCCATGCCACAAGCAGACAGAGCCTGGGGAGGCTCTACTGTCTGTGTCCTATTTGACCTAATTTGCCCCAGCCCTCCCTAAGCAGCCCTGGGCTGTGACAGTGAGGCACAGGAGTCCCAGCAGGGAGGATGGAGCCAGGCTTCACACGAGGGAAGCAGATGACTGAGAGCAGCAGGATTCTCTGGAGCAAAGGAGCAGTGGTTTGCCTACAAGGATGAAGTAAAATGCTTCAAAGGCCAATGGTCCTTTTCAGCTTACAAAAAGTAAAAGCCACAGTGCAGTGATGATACAACCAAAATATACTTTGCCTTCTAGCTGTCACCTAAACCTTGTGTGCATGCCAGTCCACACAGGGTAGAAAGCCTCCTGTAGAAAGCAGGGAAAGGGAAGGAATTTTGTATGCTGAAAACACAACATTTACAGTGCAGAGCTATATCTGACAGGAAACAATCAGTTTCCTCTTCTGACAGATACAGCAATCTTTAGTTGCAGGAAGGCAAGGAAGGAAAAAAAGTCCAAACCCCCAAACCCTTTACTGTCTGTCTCAGATCACTTTGACTTCCCAGACATTTGTGCTGTACCCTACACACTGACACATTTCCCTAAATGTAAAGAGAACTGGGTTTTAATTTAAAGCATTAAACTTTAAATTTGTAGAGTCCTTCCAGTCTTCAGCAGAAAATTCAGGTAGCATGAATGTACTACTCTATTTAATTAATAATTATAATTCCAGTTATCCTGGGTTTAGACAGAGGTCAACATACATCACTTTGTATGCCTAAATGCTGCCATGGGGACTATGGCACAGCACATCCAGAACACCTCCAAACCTCCTGGAAATGCTAAGTTTGTAAATTATTGAGAAAGGAAGAAGTGCAGAGTCGGCAACACCCTAGAGGAGAGGAGAGGGCTTCCATATGCTCACTTGTTTTACAGCAGTGGCTGCAGCTGGGAGTTCACCAGAGAGCAGGAACTGCACTCTGCACAAGATAAGATTTGTGTTGTAAACAGAAAACTTGATGGTGAGAAAGAAACAGAAAGTCAAGTAATGCTTGGTGGTAAAGATCAAAATATAAATCTATGTTTTTTTGTATAATTAAAAATAAAATCCTTCAATTTCTTCTTGTTGCTCAAATCCTTTGTCTACTTCTTCACATAATCTAGCTTGACATTAGATTATTTCCTCGTCTTACCTCAATAAATTGATTTAGAATAACAAAAGTCATGTACTTAATTTTTGATGATTTCTTTCTCTTTGGTTCCTCTCTTATTTCCCAAAATTATGGAAGTATTTTGTTCTTAGCTTTTAGAAAATCAGAGCTCTTTCAGAACTGTTAACCCACAACTCAAACATCTTTAAAATAACAAAGCAAGCAAAAAATAATCCATGTATAGTTATAGAAGAAGTCAGTGTTTTTGAAGTGTAAGCTATTTTATAACATCCACACTGTTCACCTTTCCTTAGTGTGAACAAATCTTTCTTTTACATGCTATTCAGGAATTTCAAAAAGTTGGTGATACTTCTCCTAGCCTCTACAACATACACAGAGCATTTAATTCCCTTTCTTTTTCAATAAAAGATTTGAGTATAAATTTAAAATTAATGCCCCCCAGAAACATTTTGTCTTAGAGTTGCACACTGCTGTAACTTTTTTTTTTTTTTTCCTACGAGTATTTTCAGTGAGATATTGATCTGGAATAGAAAAAAATCTCCAAAGCAATTTGGGGCAGGAAGCTCACGTTTGGAAGGAAAAGACAGACTAGAGCATCGCTGATGTTCCAAGACGCACGGATGGGATGGGAACTATCATTGTTCTTAACTCGCAAGCGAGTGAAGAATCTCCCGTTCTCTCTTGGAAGTGATGTGCGAGCAAAGCGCTGTGGATGAGGCAGCAGCGAACCGACACAACCGTCTGCAAGAAGCCACAGGGATGGAAACGCAGCGCGGAGCGGGGTGCGGAGGGGCTCTGGCGGGGCCGGGCAGGGCTGAGCCCCTTTCCCCCGGGGCCAGCCGCGGGTCCGTGCCCCCGGCATTCCCGAAGGAACGATCGCTCCCCGCAGCTGCGGCAGGGCGGGAGCGGCCCCGCCCGGCCGCACAAAGGCCGGGGGCTCCGGGCATAGCCGCGGCCCGCTGGACTCACCGACCTGACGAGCGGCCCCAGCTGCAGCAGGTGCAGCAGCAGCACCAGCGGGCGGTCGCGGCTCGCGTCGCGGTGGATGAAGACCAGGCTGAGCTGCACCAGCGCGCAGGGCACGAGGGCGAAGATCAGCGTCAGCGTCTGCCACATGCTGTCCCCCGTGTTGCGGTACCCCGCGCTCAGGCATAGCGCGGCCGCCGTCTCGGACATGAAGAGGGCGAGGGAGATGAGGACGGAGCCCGGGAATTTCATCGCAGCGGCCGCCCCAGCCCGGCCCGCCCCGCCGCCGCCGCCGCCGCGCACTAGGGCCCAGTCCCCGGCAGAGGGAGCGCCGCGCTCGCCGCCGGCCCGCGGCCTCTGCAGCCCGGGGCTGGCTCCGGGCCGCGGCTCCATCCTGCCCGGCCGTGGGTGCTGCCCGGCTCGGGATCCTGGCCGGGGCTGGACCCCGGCTGGGCTGGGAGCGGAGGAAGGTTCCGCGGCGGTGCGCGGGGAGCTCCCCCTCACAGCCTCCTCAGCCGTCAGGCACGGACCTGACCTGGGGGTTGGTGGGAAGGGGCGAGCGGCGCCCCTCAGGGCCGGGGAGACCGCACAGCCACGGGATCGCTGAGGCTGAGTGCCGCGTCCAGGCTTTCCTGAAACATCCCCAGGGACAGTGACCCCACCACTTCCCTGGCAACCCGTTCCTATGTCTATCATACTTTCTGTGAAGAAATTCCTCCCAATGTCCAACCTAAACTTCCCCTGGTGCAGCTTAAGATCATGTCCTCTAGTCCTATCACTGCCTGTTAGAAAAGACTAACGCCCACCTGGCTACACCGTCCTCTCAGGGACTTGTAGAGCCTGACAAAATAGAGATCTGAAAGGAAGAGGCAAGGCTAAGTCTTCCTGTACTAGGAAGAAAATAACCCTGTGCAACAATAAAGGCTGAGAGATGATTTAATGAATAAACAAACGCCACAACAAAACCAACCAACCAAAGGCAGAAAAGGAGTTGTGAGTGCAGGAGAGGCTCCCCTGATGCACCCAGCTCAGACTCCCTGATCAGGGTGGTGTGGCAGTGTCACAGGTGCCCTTTTAGCTCCTTGCCAGGTTGCTCTCTTGCTTGCCAGACCTTTTCCTTCAAAGGTTCCTTGGGTTACAGAACCCTAAACCCTGCTGTGACACCAGCTGTTGACCTGCAGAATTTGCCTGCTGTCCCTGGGCCTTTCCCCCTAACCAGCAGGATCCTTTCTCCCTCACCACCAAAATTCTGGAGTCCTTCTGGAGATATGTACGGTCACCTCAGCAGTATCACCAGTGCCTGCATGGATGAGCAGCACAAGGTGACAGCCTGAGGAGAAGACAAGCCTTGGTAATCCCTCCATGAAATCCTGCACCTGAGCACCTGGCAAGGAACAAAACTCAGGTACCAAGCCAGGCTGGCAGATGGTGCCTCTGTCCTGCACAGGAGTCCCCAGTCATCGCTTCTCTCCTCCTCTTGGTGCAGGTACTTGGTCCATGCTCAGCTGGCTCTGGTCATAGATCTTGTTTCTTCCTGCCTGTTCCCAGGTAACTGCTGATCACCCTGTACAGACCTGGGACCTACAGGAGCACAAGAGGAAGGCAAGGTAAGAAGTCTGAGATATTATTAATGGGGCAACACTACTGGCTACCTCTGCTTATCTCCTACTGTTCTTTAATGCAAGTTAGGGTGTCAGCAGATTTACACAAAAAGTGCCAATAAACACTTGGCCATTTATTTAACTACTGCACTGGCAAATCTGGAGTCCCACTGCTCAGCCAAAGTTGAGCTAAGCTCATGATGATAAAGATGGAAACCTTGTTGTGGGCAAGCCAACGTTAATTTAATGCTTCATTGGGAATGGAGGGTCATTCTGAAAAGGGAAGATGCTATGGAAACTGAGATTTGAGCAGACTGACAGTGAATACCTAGAGTGGGAAACTTTAATCTACAGGCCAAAAGCAACATGTCTTGTCTTGTGGGAAACTACCATAAGGTGTTTTACCTAAGCACTGTGTGCAGCCTGGATGATTTATCTCATTCTAAAATGATTTATTTTACTTTTGATAACCACTGAAAAGCTTTTGGAGCACTGAGTCATGACTATTCTGGAAGAAGTGTTGCCAGCACTATGAAAGATAACTACAGAAATAAATAAGCCAACGCAAAATCATACTGTTCAAGGTTGGACTTTTATTTAAGGCAAAATATAATCACAGCTTTAATTATTCATACTATGGATATACACAGTTTGTTCTGCCACTATGAAGCTTAGTATTATCACTGCTTTTAAAAAGCTATAAAATCTATTTTCTATCATAATCTACAATACAAAACTAATACAATAAACACATTCTGAAAGATCACAGTGTTTAAAATATTAGAAAAGCAGGGGTCCTGCTTTCAAACAATAAGGTGCATCTCTAAAGAATCAAATCAGCCTTGATTCTACAGGCCTGTACCACATCATGGCTGTGAATGGCTGTAACACTGAGAAACCAATCTAGGGTGTGGCACGTACTCAAGGAATGAACATCACACACTGGAATATATTGAATAATCAAGTGTCACCAACACAAACTAGACATTAAATAATGCCATTTAAGTTCCCTGTACTTTTTATTTGTATTGGTATTCACGTATGTTGCAGAGATAGCGAGATAAAATGTGTATAAATTGCTATCAAACAGGGCCCTGCATATGCAAACACCTGTGCTTTCCTCATACTATGCAAACAAGCCTTACTAATTCCATGGGACTGATGTGTAAAGGAAAGTTTGTAGGCCTGGGGTCTGGAATGACAGTTTTACCCCTGTTCCACACATGTGGAAGGAGCTACCTTACAGGCCTGGAATCAAGCAGAGGTTCACCATGGACATCAGCAGGTGGCCTATCAGGCTCTTAAAATGAGTGCAGGAGGCCAAATCAGTGGCTTAGAATCTGTTTTCTATTCTCTATAGGATATAATTGATTTAAGAACTTCTACAGTGATACAATGCTGTTGCTGGATATCAGTACACTATAAAATCTCTTGTGTTCAAATATCATTATACCACTGGGAAAAAAAAAGTTTTTAATTAATTTTCTGCCACTCTAGTTGGTATTGCTGTACTTGACCTAAATGCCTCCATCTTTCCTTTGAGTCATGCCATGACAAAGTCAAGGGACTCCCTTCTAAGCATTAAAAAGAAATATGGCCTTATGTATTTTCAAGCAGATTGCTATTTATAAATTTTTTGAGAGCATGATGCAGAATTTCAATATACGAGGTGTAGGACCAACAGTGACAGTACAAATTAGTCAAGTTTAATAATTCAAAGGCAGATTGAAAAGTTGGTGCTATTGGCTTCTTGAATGTATTTTTTTAACTGCCTCATCATGGATAGTGCACATCACTTCTGTTCCATTAAAAGATAGGAGTAGGCAGTAAGTTCAGCTACAGGCAACTCCTTCACAGGCAAATGTTTTTTAACATTTGATGACTTTGCTATAATGGCAATGGAGTGCTGTTCAAGGCAGCTGAAACCTGCACAGTGCTTACTGTACCACTACCTGTGCCATGAAACACTGTCCTATTCCTTTGGAAAATCCTATTCACATCCCTAAATTGCAGTGTTATTTTGTGGGCCCTGAGCATTTTTGACTTATGGCTTTGAAGTATGTTGTTTCCCTCATAGTGGGATTTTTGGTCATTTTCTTATTTCTTTTCAATTTAGCTTTCTGCTGCTACTACTTAGTCTTAGACATATTTTTATAAACTGAAATGTCTTCTCAGAGCAGTCCAGGCTGTGCTGCCAGCCAGCAGTTGTTAGTTCTTCAGAGCAAGATTACTCTTTGAAAATAAATCGGGCAATTTTAGTCCTGAAATACTAATCTTCCTACAGATTAGAATATGCACTCATGCCAGTGAATATTCAAGGTATGTAGAAGATTACTGCACCTGAGATTTACTTGGCAGACCTCAGAGATCCAAAGAACAAGGATATATTCTCAAAATGCATGCATATACTAAAATAGGTCACTGTTGGCATACAACATGCAATATGTTGGCAGATGCTGTAACTGTATATGCAGGAAACTATATGAGTACAAAAACTTGATTGCTTATCAAAGTTTCCATTTGCACATATTGCCCCTCCACATTTCTGAATACAGCAGATACCTATTGTTCATTTTTTTCCACAGTATTAAAAAACCAATCAGTATTCTTGTCATAGTCTTTCCATGTCATATATAATCAGTATTAGAACATCAAAGTGGCATTACTTAATTTGACAGAGTAGCAGTAAAGGTGATCCCTTGCATTTCCTTATGTATATTTCCCAGAACTATTTAAAAGTGTATTTTGAAATGTTTAGCCATTTCACTTGGTTTTGATTGTCCTAAGAGAACTGAAACACTGAAGCATGGAGAAGTGACCATGCTTCCTGGAAAGTCTCTGTTTTATTTAATGAAGTAAAACACCAGTGATAGTGGTTATAAAGGATAATAATTTTTCCTTAGCAGGTGGGAAATGGCACAGCCATAGAGAATAGACCATCTGGGAGCATAAAATAATGTAATGCAAGTTAGTAGAACACCCTGCTTAAGCAAAATCAAGCAATCTTATTTTCAGGAACAAAAAACCTGGGCTGCTTCTTCAGCTTCCTCAAGTTATTCAAAGGTTGGGAAACAAAGGCAGGGAAATTGAAGGCAACAATCATGCAATCAAAGCAAATATTGAAAGTGGTGGCACAAAATAAACCTGTTATTATGATGAGAAGTTGTGAGTAGCAATTGAAAATAATGTTATATTTGTTAGAACTGTACTGCTGATAAAACTTACAGCATCTGGTTCTATGAATCCTGAAATCAATAAATACGGACACTACAGATCTAGCTTCCCTCAAAATTATTCCCTGACAGTAATGTATGGATGGCAAGCTAAAACTCATGAACAGTATATAGCTCCTTAAACTGATGTGTAATCTACAGCTTTACTCACAAATAGCACCACACAAACACAGGTACATCACAAATAAGCACCAATACCCACATAATGCATCCTCTTTGCTTTAACAGCATAATCAGAAATACTATTATATCACTTAAATTCCTACTGCCTACACTTTAGAAGCTAAACACAACCAAGAAACTAATGTGCAAACATGATGTAGTTACTGTGTTTTACACCCTGAAAGAGGCTTCTTGAGTGTCCCACAACAGTCTTTTCTCACAGCACCAGGGCAGAATCTGTTCAGGAATATTTTCCAGTCCATAAGGGCCCAATTCAGGAGCAGGAGGAGACAACATTCCTTGGAGAATTCTAACAAAGGTTGCAAGGTTAGTTTCTCAAAGCAGGAAGAAGGGTACACAGAGGACCTTACTCTTTGTTACACTGCAAAGTGCTGACAGTTCTACTCAGGTTGCTGTTCTGTCAATGTCTTAAAAGCAACAAATAAAGATTGCAACAGCATGTTTGTAACAGCATATATAGTACAGAGAAAAAAATCAGATAAGACAATAAAGAAGGGCAAGATGAAAAAACCCTGCTCATTTAATGAGTCGCATTTTCCAAAGAGCCCTGGGGTGTATTTGCAATGTGTTCAGAAGCTGTGGCTGCAGCCCATCTAGAAGCCACCTTAACCCAGCCAGGTCAGGTAAGAAAAACCACAAATCTCTGAGACTGAGCTCAAACTGCCATGTCTGATAAAAGAGATGAACAAATATGTGCCAAGATTTTTACCACATGTATCCCATGAGACTGGATATTTGTGTGCTGCCCTTGCCAAAGTCAGTGCTGAACTCACATAACCTGCAGAAATGTTTGGGACCTAGATTTCAAAAACTGGCTGGTTCCATGTGTTTTCTGACTGTTGAATGGACTAACTCTTACTTAAATAATTGTTTTGTCTCTCCAAAACATGTGGCTTCATATACAGAGAATGGTTGTAGGCACAGGAGATCTGGTTTTAGTGTGCTGTTGATCACAACACAGAAAAGATCAGTCTCCTCTGAATGTGAACTGGAAGAAATTCTACAAAGAGAGACACACAAGAAAAACCACTGGAAAACTGACACTGAGCTTAATGTTTACTTCCTGGCATTTGTGAAGAATCACATTTAAAATAAGTGGATAGGCCAAGTTTTACCTTCCTTAAACTTTTCTTTAAGAAGGTTCCAGTTATGAAATATAGGAGCCAAATGCATTACAGGAACCAACCAGATACAAATCCTAATGGATTTGGGATCTTCACTACTGACAGTTGACTTTGCTGTGTCCAACAGGAGCATTTCCACAGGGCTGGACAGAGCACATTCCCATATCCATTGACTTTTTGACTCAGCTTCGTGTGTACACCCTCCCTATGGAATTCATCCCTCTGTGTGCACACATCTCACTGCTCAGAGTAACCATATAAGTGACATTAGTGGCTTTCTTAAAAGACCATTTAACCTTTTCACTTATGTGTTTTAATATAACAAATGTATATTGAGTTGTAACATTTCCATTCACTAAAAGATCCCTAAATTCTTGACAAACTGATACAGAATGGCATTGCTTTATTCACCAGTGAAATATAGTTATTTCTATGATTAAATAATTAATTAGAGCCACACAGTGCAAGACAGAATAACAGAAATCCATATCTGCAGCTCATAATAATGTAAGCCATCTCATTAAAATAACAGTGGCAAGAGCAGGAAGGGATTATTACATTAAAATGTGGAAGGACTGCAAGACCCAGCTCCAACTTACAGCCTGATCAAAGCCCACTGAAATGAAATGGGAACTTTAATCCATTAGGCATTAAAAAAAAAAGAAATTGTAATCTCCTCCAGCTGAGAACGCAGGAAGAGGGACTGCATTGTTTGGCAGTGCATGTACAGCAGCTTTTTCTCTCTAACTTCAGTTTTTGACATATTGGTCTTCCTGATTTGTCTTTACAGATATTATTCCCGTATAAATAAAAATAAATAAATAGTAAATAGATTTTAAACACATATATTAATTTTCTATTTTTTAGTACAAATCTATGTTAGTGTTTTATCTTTCAAGTACCATGTCATCCTATCTATAATACATAGAAAACAGCATATAATTGCATCTATACATGCTAGTGCAACTAGTATTCAGCAATTCATTTATTTGTATATAAATTATTTTCTAGATAAAAATCATTTGGGCATGTACATTATTTTGCTAACTAGAAAAAAAAGCAATTTTGAGTTTTGTTATCAGGTTATTTCTGAGGATCATTATGCCACTCCATGATTGTATTCACTTTGCAGGGTTTGGAGCAAAAAATTCAATAAGGAAAATAGTTTTTTCCATAATATGAACTTAGAGTACTGTTCAGAAATGCTGCTATAAGTAATTAATTTTTAAAGGAAGCTTTTGTATCACTGAGCAATACTTATCTAGTAATGCTGTACCATGAAGAAAGCATCTGCCTGCTGTATCTTTGCTACAGAACTTTTCCATCCAAGTCTTCTCCATAGCTCCACCCATATTCCATGTGACTGGGAAAATACCGACGAGACTGACACAGTTACAGTGGATCAGAAAGGAGACCAGCTCCTTGCCACAGATGGAGCTCTAAAAGGGAGGGTCCAATTCAGTGCTCATTTACACATGAGATCCCACTTGCTGAAATGAACTGTGAAACTGCAGCCTGAACACTCAGCTATCTACAGAACTGCCATTATATGAGGACCAAATAGCTCAAAGATACAGATTTACCTAATACATGTTACTAAAACTAGCAGATGTGGTTTAGGTAAAAAAATCCCAGATTTTGCCTTTGTGCATTGTAGTGACATATCTACAACACCCTCCCCAATTAATGCATTGCTCCACAAATGGTTTTTGCAGAACTCTTTTTAAAACCTACTGGGTGCATCACTGTTTCTTCTTTTCATGTCCCTGCAATTCTGGCTTGTCCTTTTTTCACCAAATTAAAAGTTTGATAATGCCCCTTTCTCTCTTATTTGAATAATTAGATAAATATCTACGACATCAGATTCAATCAGCTCCCCTGTTTTTTTTCCCCACTGACCCACTTATTTTGACCACACACTTCCCCACCCCCCAAGCCCCAGTGTGTGTTGGTTTTGATCTGACTCCCAGCTACATTAAGGCTAGCATTAGTGGTACCCTGGCCCGTTTTGTACATAGCCTGTCTTGAAAAGTAAGTGGAACTGCAGGTGCCCTCTCCCACTGCCTCCAGGATGTGGCCCTGGAGAACATCAGTCTTTAGACAAAGACACTGAAGAGAGGAAACTCGGCTTGGTTGGGTTGCAGCAAGTCAGTCAGGAAACACACAGTTCCTGAAAAACCTTCATACAGACTATATATGCTTTCTAGTGCCCGGGAACCAGACTTAAATTCTTCTGTAAATAAGAACTCTGCAAACCTAAGAGAAAAAAAAAAAAAAAGAGTGCATTATTACTTTATGTTCCTCTTTGTCTACTTATTTGGAAGCATCATTTTAATAACACTCAGTAATTAAAGAAAGTAGAATGATCAGTATTTAATATTTTCTGCAAATTCTAAACTATCCAATTTCTACAAATTCTACACTATCCAATTTCCACAAGAAACTGTTCATTAGATCCAGAAGAGACAAACCTTTGCAATCTGTGTGTGCATTATGCTTGTTTAAGAGTTATAAACCTTTTCTGATTTCTGTAAGATGTATCATTAAACAAATAATTTTTGATAACTTTTAGGATGCAAGCAACAAATCACATCAGTGCAACAAATTCTGTAATACCAAAATAGCTACACAAATTTAAAAAATAGGCAAAGGGCTAAAAATCAATCATCTTAATTACTATACCTTGCATCCAGATAAAATAGAATTAACCCCACTAGCTAAGCTAAAAGAGGGAATGATAAATTAAAAAAATGTAAAAGAACTGCACACCACATCCTGTACTTACTTTCCACTTCTAGTAATATGGAATAGTGTTAAATGCTCTGCAAAAAATCATAACAAATCACATTTTACTCTACTCCTGGACTTGGGGACACAGCTTGTTGGAATTCTGCCACCACATCAGGATGAGACCTGGATGCCCGTGACCCCTCCACATCCAGCCCAGCTCCCTCTGAAGGAACACAGGCTCCTGGGCAGGGAGGGAGCCTGGGAGAGCCCAGGCAGCCTGGAACGAGACTGCAGAGCTCCCACAGAGTGCACCCACCCCAGAGCTCACAGCCAGAATTCATCCTGAAGCTTAAACACTCGTGTTACATCCAAGGGTGGCGATCACAGGCTCTGCTTTATAAATGTTCCTGAAACTCTGCGGTATTACCTAAATCCAGAAGACAGAAATGCTCACCTTTGTGCCCTGTATATGTATTTGGAGTTCCCAGTGAGCCTATAAAGCAGCAGGAACACATAAGCACTACCAGCCACCCCGTGGCATATTCCAGGGCCCTTCTTCAGAAGGCCTTTCTGCCAGGTGAGCTCTCCACAGCGGATACAAGTGTCCAGATATTGAGGCTTCTTGGAAACCAGGTAAGCTTTGGCAAACAGATATGCAATGCCTAGGAAAAGAGCAGGGAGATTGTCTTTTGTAATGAGTACAGCGAGGGTTTCAAAGAACACATAAAAAAATAAAGATTAATACGCTAAAAACCTGCAGGCTCGTGCTCTACATATGTCAGTGTAGCCTCTAAATGCTCCATGAGGGTGGAGTATCTGCTATGCTAAAAGCACACAGTAAATGTAATTATCCACCCCCTGTGACAATGCCACTTTCAATCTTTTCAAGGCATTATTGAATTTCAGGGTTTACTCCAACATTTTCAGACTTTCATAATTTTAAAAAAGCAGTTACATTTTTGTCTTTAAACACTAAACTCTTAGCGCTGTCTTCTATTGGCTCCAAGTCCCCATTAACCTCACCTGCTTACCCTGACAGAAACACAAGGATAGACAAGATAATTTCTTACACTGGCAACAGATACAAACTTTTACTAAATGAGAATAAAGAAACTCACTTTGTTTTTTCCCAGTGAGGCCTACACTGCTTTATTCTAGTTATACACAGTTATGCATACTAACTTCTACTAAAAAAAAAGCTATTTGGCTTATTTTTAGAGGGAATTTAAATAAATTAATCATAATCTTCACCAGAGCACTGCACGCTTCAGTTCATGGTAACCTTATGGGAATGCACATGACACATAACCAACTCAAGTGCCTAAGGAAATGTTTAGCTGACTTGTAGTCTGAATTTAACAAACACTGGAGCAGCTGAAGTGTTCTTATAAACTACATCTGTGTTATTACCCAAGAACCGTGATGTGATACAGGTTTTTCTGGGGAAGAGCAATAGCAATTAATGAATTTCCCCATCTCAAAGTGTAACTTCTTTATACCCTTTGGGTTTTTTTTCACTTTGGTCGAATTTAACCTGAGATTATCTTCTACATGGAATCACCTAATGTGGAAAAGCAATGTGATCAGCATCTGGCTGTGCATAGCATCAATGGGAAAAGAACCTGGAGCTCCATGGCACCAGTGCACCAGCTCGTTCTCCCGCTCGATGGTCTCCCCCAGCTCAGGGGGCCAGTTGCTGTTCTGCTCCTGGTCCATCAGGAAATCCACACTCTGCCACACCAGCTCCTGATCTGCTGGCTGCAGGTACTCGTAATAGGAGAGCAAAATCTGCAGAATTGAGGAAAGCCCATGTGCTGCACCTGGAAAGAAAAGAAAAAAATTGAATTAGGGGGTGGGCTTAGGTCCTGTCTGCACCTTATTGCAACTTTCCCTCGGGACAGATTTCCTTGTCAAGAGCATGGCTCCTTCATCTTCTTCACTCATACTTGAATAGTGCTTGGAATAAAAGATTGCTAGGTGCATAACACTGTATTTTACTATTTCTGTCATTTCTAGTCCTCTAGCTTTGCAAAAAATATGTATGAATTCCTTCTGCTCTCACTCTGATATGACTGAAACTCACTGTATGAAGTTAAACTGAACCTGAACTGAATTCTGTTTCAAGGTGTTACTCTTAACACACTGCTGAATCTGGGCCATATATTTGCATTTGTTGACTGCAAATTGAAACTGGGCCATAAATGGGTATTTCCACTTACTCACTGACAGTAACAGTGAGCTAACTCCTAAATTTCAGTGCAAGAACTGTCTGTACCCTCCCGGGTCTCAGTGACTGCTCTCTCTGCTGCCCTGCCAGGGAACTGCAAACCAATCTCACACTTTCTGCAGTGATTCTGTGCCTGGAGACGTCCACAAGGGCCCTGCTCAGTGGCCTTTCACCACTGCTTCAGGTGAGCTCCATCCCAGCTGCCCGTGATGAGAAGGATGGATGGTCCCAACTGGTTCAGGAGAAATCCCACAGTGTAGATTTTATGTATTTTATTCCTGAAGTGCCTACTAGCTCAGCATCTCCACACAGCACACTCTCAGAGGTGTTGGTGTGTTTTACTCACCTAGATACTCTGTTCCATAATAGGAATACATCAGTGGGACTGGTTTCCTCTTCTTCACTGCATACTGTTTTCCTGATTCCAGTATGGCCAGGCAAATTGATTTAATTTGTGCTGCAGTCAGCACCTAAACAGAAACATCAAACAAACATCAAGTCTATTAAAATTATTTCATTTTTAAGACATTTTTCAGGAGGCTGCTTTTTTGCCAATGCACAGGATGCAGTACTACCTTTAATCTTATAAATGTTCTGTAATGTACATCATTATTAGGAGTTCCGTACATAACAAGGTCGATTTACATAATGTTTCTCAAAACCAGAGTTTCATCCTGTCTCAGGAAGTGAATATCAAATCTTTAGCTGCACAGATGAGGTGAAAAGAGGCCGTGTAAGAGTCTTTCCTTCCCAGAAATCCTTCAGTCTGATGGAAGCTGACAACAAGCAGCAGGCAAGCTGCAGAACAGCAGTCTGCAGACTGAGTAAGAAGAATTATGAGAAGGCAAAGGAAAAGATGAAAGAAGTAAATGTTACAGACCTTATTGGGACACACTGACTTAGACAGATTTTTTCTACAGACAAATTAAAAAAAAAAAAAAAAAGGAAGCAAGGAAGAGTTACTTAATTGTTATTAAATCACTACTATGAGATTTCAGAAACCTCTTAATAAAAGAATCAGACTTTCTTAATACAAGAAAATGCTAAGAAAAATGAAGTGCAAGACAGGCTTCTATGAAGATAGGCTAGCTATGCTTGTGGGACTTAAGCATCACAAGCAGGTTAATGCAGTCCCTAAAAACACTAATACCTTACTCTTAGAGGCGTCAGAAGTAAGATTGACAAATCACCATTTGTCAACATTTCAAAAAGTTCAGACATGAACTTTTCCATGTTAATGATCTAAAGCATTCAGTGAGAGATCAGTTTCACAGGGTTTAATTACAAGCAATTTACTGCAAGTGCAAGCAATGTCCTGTGTCAGCCACACCTGGACATTACTGACCAATACCTAGGCCAATTAAATAATTTAACCAAAGTACTATTTTAGCTTTAGGGGAAAGTCCATATGGCAGCAGTACTTTGAAGAAAAATGTTTCAACTTGTGAAAAGAAAACTGAGAAATTAAAAATGACATAGGAAAAAAAAAAGGAAAAGGTTGTACAAACAGTCCTGATAAGATAAACAGTAATCCTAAAATTAACTAGAATATCAGAATAATGTCTTTTAAATGTTTCTGAACAGATTTGGGTTTGCTATAATTTGTATTATCATAGGATTTACAATTACTTCATGTTTAAAAAATACTGATAGGTTTAATATGGAGACAACATCTGTTATAAAATGTATTTTCTCATTTGGACCATGAAAGATGCTACAGATAATTAATGTCACTTAAAACTTGACTGAAAAGTAATGGCTGAAAGATCTTGTTTGTGTTCTCCCCTAGCTCCATGATAACAAGGGATTTTATTTCAGCTGCTCCAAATGACTCTGGTATTTGTACAACCTGGAGAACAACCTAGTTCTTATCTTGATTAGTGTTCTTTAATGTCACTGCAGGAGAATTAAATAAGCCATTAGCATCTGGAGACTTCACTCATTTCCAGTCATTTTTAAATTAATTGTTTTACCTTCACAGAATTTAAAGAGATGGGTTGAATCTTAAGCAAATGAGGAGAGCAAAGGTGAGAAACACTGAATTCTCTCCAGAGCTTTCATTTTACTGTCTTGAAATTTGGGACCTACTCCTCTGAATTCCATACCTTGTAAAAGCATTAGTAAGATCATCTCTTAAAAATAAATGTGAAGGATAAGTTCTACTAATTGTAATTTTGAAAGGCAAAGGCATATGGGTTAGAAAAATCTTAATCAGTTCATTTTCTGTATGTAATGATTCCTTCACTTAATATTAACAACTAGCTTTCAATAGAAATCATGTTTTGCTAAGCTTATTTTTATGTTCAGCACATTTAATTTTTAAATTGAACTAATGACTGTTTTAGAATGCTGATTGTGTATTTTAAATGGATATAAACTTCTATCCAAATACAGCCTTTCACAGTGCTGCATAAAGAAGTATCAGCTAGAAAAGAATGCACCATTCACTGGTTTTTAATATAAAGTAAGTGTAAAACCTCAAAACACTTGAGCACTATGAATACCCAAGTCTATACATAGTATACCCTTTTGGCTGGCATAATGAAATATGCTAATGAATGTCACCTCTTTTTCAGAATGCAAAAGCAGCCCATATGCAAAGACAGATGAAAAATGCTATTTAAAAGCATGAATGAATGGTAGAAATCAACCCACATGATCCACGTCCACATGAGCAAAGAAAATGAGAAAGAAGATGACTGTGTATCTTGAAAACAGCTTTATTTCTGGCCTCTTGGACTGATCTGTGGGCTTATACCAGGTAGATGTGTCCCAACTAACAGCTAAATAAATAAGTCTTTATGTTGAGTACAAACACCTCTTACCAAGTCACTCAATTCATTGTCATTGTAGGGTTGCTGCCTGTTTTCCAAAACACTTGAGCATGAAGGATTTGCATTTGCTCCTTATTCTGGGAAATGGTTGACTGGACAGAAAATCTCACTTACCATCACTATTAGTGGCCTGCCAAAGGCTAAATAATCAGCAATCACATTTAAGATTTCCATTGGTTTGACACATTTTACTTCAACCAGTTTTGTGTTAAAATTTCCTTAGATTTCTGTCACTTTACCAAAAAAAAAAAAAAAAAAAAAAAAAAAAAAGGATCTGTGGTTTGGCTCTGTATGCACCCTCACAGTATCTTTAAAAAACCAGCTAAATCTTATGATCAAAACAACTATCATAAAATACATTAATTATAACCACAGACAGTGCAACTGTGGTCCTACAAACTTTATTTTAATTTCAGTGTAGTCACAATGCTTCCTTGCCCCTGGGAATTACTGAAATAATGTTTAATTAGAGACAGAAAAGAAACAGACTCATCATCCTCAAGGCTTTGAAGGGAAACATTGTATATTGATATTATCCTCTAGAGCCATCAGATGTTTTGATGCAGAATAAAGCCAATACGAGAATAGGCTATCTAGAAAAAAATTTCATACTTGAGAAATTACATACATATTTTGAGAAAATTCTGAATGTCACTTAATATGAGCAGAGGTAAAATCATTCTTTATCATGTAAGTACTTGAATGGAAGACTAATGACACTAAGAGATATATTGCTAGTGCTTTAAAACTTCACCTAATTCCTTTTTGTGTTCTTGAAGACATCACAACCTGTGATGTCTTCAAGACACCACAGAATTACAGAATGGTTTGGGTTGGAAGGCACCTTAAAGACCTTTTAGTTCCAAGTCCCCCACCATGGATAGGGACACTTTCTATGAGACCAGGCTGCTCAAAGCCCTGTCTACCCCAGCTTTGAAGAACTTCTCCACAACAACCTATTCCAGAGTCTCACCATCCTCTCAGTTGCCTTCTTTTCAGTCTAAAGCCATTCCCTGTTGTCCTGTCACTACATGCCCATGTAAAAAGCCCCTCTTAATCTTTCAGCTGTTTATCAGACACACACATCATACATGTTCCTTTTCCTGGTTAAATAGTGGTGGCCTGCCCCCTTCAGTCAAAAGAGGTTATTTTGTCTTGGTTGATGTTAGAAATGTTTATTTCAGTCTTCTCAGTAGACTGAAGCTTGGAACACATGCATTCTCCCCACAATTTCTGTATCAATAGGTCGCTGGAGTTCTTTATTTTCTATTTTCTGTTTTACATCATTATCCAGTGATGCTGAATAATAGCTCTACTCACACTGGTGACAGCTAGATCCCCACATACCTGTTACTTTAAGCACAACACATAGGCAGCACTTTAATGCTTTCTATTTGAACCACTGTCTGTGTCTAGGAGCCTGACTTGCAGTAAAAAAGCCACTGTGATTGTTCATAAAGTCTCTCCATTTTTCTCTGATGTCACTGCAGACAATATGCCTTTTCCCGTAAAGGCACTCCACAATTTTGTGAATTATTTAAGGCAAGTCTTTTTTTTCAGTAAATCCCTGTTAAAAGGCAGCCAGGAAGTGCTATGTCCACAGCAATCACAGAGCATCATTCTGGTTTTTGTTAGCAATCTCTCACCCTGAGATTGTTTAGTTGGAAGTCAATAATTTCATAACTCCTTTTAATCTACTAAAAGAGATTTTGCAATTATTGGTTATGACAGTGCTAAGCCCCACGTATGTGTTTTGAAAACTGTAGACAGAAATCTTGACCTTGAGGATTAGGCAGAAAGCAGCAGGATGAGCTCTTCTGATTAATGTTTTCAGCACTTTTTCATTCCTCTGAATGCTCGTACAAACCCCTTGGCTCATTATGAAAACCACTGCTACATCAAACTGCATACTGTATGGAGTGTTTTTCATGACTCTAAGCTTTTAATTCTTTTAACAGGTCTGTATTTATTTCCTTAGAGCTCCTTCCTGTGACAGAAGGCATTACTGAAACCAAGTATCATGATCTTTTGATAGATGCATGAGCACTTTCAGGAGGTAACAGCTACAGTTACATTATTGTGGAAAAACCTTCTATGCACATAAAAACATTTTATTATGCACCTAACACATCAGATCTCTCTCTGTTACACTTCTAACAAGCCACTTACATGAATTTGATCGTACACTTCTTCTGATGCTGTACAAAGTGTGAAACTAAGCTGAAGAAAATGGGTCAATCTGCAAATAACATAACAGGAGCTTTGCCATTGCTCTCCTATGCTGGTAGCCCAGCAGAGGGAGCTTGTGAATTAGCTATAATAACTCAAAATGCTGCAAAAAATGCTACACATATTTTTGTTCAGCAAGACAGCAGACACTGGTCATTTCATGATACCGACTGCAACACATGGTATTTCAGTTCATTCCTTAAGCTTGATCTTTTCCTTCCAAAGACAGGGACTGGCATTGTTCAGGAACCTTTCCATGCAATGTCACAGCCAGGTTTTTCCCTTTCAGATGATGATAACACCTGAAGCCATGGAAAAGCAGCAGGTACAATAACAGGGTCTGCCTCCCCTTAGTGTTATTCCAGTTTGATTGATGTACCTCTCCTTTGGCACAGTGAGAAACCCAGCTCCAAGTACACAGACACAGAAGCTCATGAGTCTGCTTCCCTCATGAGCACTGTCAAGTACACCCTTCTTTTAAAGATACAAAATATAGTTTTAAATCTCCTGAAAATTTTGGTCAATAAATTAGATTAATTTCAGAAGTACTATTCCTAATGCAGTCTGATGCTGTAACAGCACCATGCATTGTCTTGGAGTGTACTTCCCCAGACTTCTCACAGTAACAGTGGCAGTGACAGTGTGGTCAGACTCACAACAACTACTGCTATGGTTCTGCCAGTTCACTGTAAAGTGGTACCTGACTGCAATCCTGAGTAAGTCAGACTTCCCTATAGATCTCATTGGCATGGCTTAACATGTGAATGTGGGTGGTTTTGAGACTTGCTCTTTGCCTCAGCACCATGGGCCAGAAAAGCCAGTCCTGTCCTATTTTGTGGGTCACTAATCATGACTCCAATCAGAAACTGAAGGCTGCCTTAATTCCCGATAAATCAGATTACTGGTAAATAAGACCATACAGAAGTTTTGTTACATTAAGAGTACAAAACTTCCACAGGTCCTACCCGCCAGGACTGTGTAGCACTAAACCCATCAAATTCTGCTGTTAAACTTGTCCTTCAGAAGGGGAACATGAAATGTTCCAGAAAAGGATGGAGCACAACTGTCACTGTAGAGAGAGCAGTGTGCTCAGAGCAGCTGGTGCTGCTACACAGTTGGTCAGATGCAATGAGCATCTCAATTCCTTATGTCCCCACTTAAAAATTGAGAGTTTCAAAGAAAAACAACTGGCCCTTTGTGTGGCTGACAACATTCAGGGTCTTTGTGTACACTGTCCACACACACTTCTGTCCCTTGTGATTGTCACTGATGGGCATTTTGATTTGTCCTAAGGGAAGAACACCAGGTAGGAACTGGAGGAGAGCCCAGCTGGTCCAACCTCCAGCAGCATTTTACACCCTTTTGCAGGCTGAGGTGTACCAAAGTCAGTGACAATAATCACAGCTTCCCCCACAGCTGGAATGCATTCAGCTCCCTGGCAGGAGGGTGTAGGCAGCTGGGCACTGGCCTTTTCTCCCGAGTAACCAGTGACAGCACAAGAGGACAGAGTCTGAAGCTGTGCCAAGGGAGGTTTAGCTTGGACATTAGGAAGAATTTCTTCACAGACAGGAAGATTAGACATTGGAACAGACTGCCAGGGAGTCACTGTCCCTGGAGGTGTTGAAGGAAAGACTGGATGCAGTGCCTTGATCTGACTGACACATTGGTGTTCAGTCACAGGTTGGATCTGATGATCCCAGAGGTCTTTTCCAACCTAATTTTTTTTGGGATTTTGTGGTTATGCAAGCAATCACACAGTTCCTCCTGTATGGTATTCCTTCCTAAGGACATTTCTCCCTAGGTGTTCTCATCTGAGGACAAATCACAATGCCCAGCAGAGACAAGGGGAAGGCAGAGGGTATGTGTGGAGGGGGAGGAAGCACAAGAAGATCTGAGTATCTTTTGTTGCTGCTGCACTTTTCTTCAAGCTCCTCCTACCCTGGGTAAATGAAGAGAGAGGGAAACATGAGTTTTTCTTAGTTACGCTCATGCTGCCAACACCTCTTACTCTGCTGCACCAGGATGTGGCTGGATACACCTATCCAGTTGTTATATAGTGGCTCTCCCAGGTCTTGGGAAGGAAAAAAAAAACCAGTTCTCCATTACTATCACTGCTTGAAGAAAGTAGGGAAGCACCACCTCCCTGCTCTCTGCTGCTGGAGAAATGAAGCAGGGAGGATGCCAAGGAACAGATCCCAGATCAGAACAGTTCAGATAATCACCATGACTGAGGAGGGATCAGCCTGCCCACTGAGAGCTGAGGTCCTGCTCAGTAGCAAAGCCAGCAGGGCACTTCTCAGGAGGACAAGTCCCGTCACAGAAGAAGTGAGGTATCCCGGGATGCACTCCTGTGCTGAGGCTTTTCAACAGCAGCTGTCTGCACCCCAGCTGCATGTTCTCTGCTGCCTAGCCGAGGGTTAGAGTTACCACAGAGCACAGAGAGCCAACAATTTAATTTCAAGCATCTCTCCCTAGAATTGCACCCAAATTCAAGAGGATGAATTGAAAAGCATGTTTTAAAACATGAAAAAGATTTGCAAATTAAGTGAGAAACAAACCCAGCACTGCTTCGACAGGCTTTTTCTTACATTACAGAATTCTACCCCAACATTTTTCAACAGGCATGTAAAATCCCTTTTTTCCCCCCTTTTTCACTGTTATTACTGACTAGCCACATAATGCATGGCTGAGCAATTAAGGGGTCACAGACTCTGGGAACTGGCAAAAATGGATGTATCAGAGATCACC